ATAAAGCCTTGTCAAAGGCAGGGATGAATGCTAGGCTTAACAGTGCAACTACGACTACAGTGCTATCACACGTGAGCAAAATTTCATCGGGGGAAAGGACTGAGGAGAGGGGGGTAACGAAGCCCTGTTTCTAATGAATGCAAAAAAGCATTGATTTGTTGAATGAATTGATGATTGGATTCACGAAACGATGCATATCATCCCTTGGGGGTGCCTTATAGGTAGGGTCAGGCGTGATTCCTCCCCCTGTCATTCATATAGTACGTGTTTATTAATACCTATGTGAAAAACCACTTATCTGTACCACACAAAACATTAAGAGATAAGTGGGTTTTTCAAAGAGATATTTATATAAACACGTATTATATGAACAAAAGGGGGTGAAATTTATTTTACCCTTTTTGAAGGTACAAAACTATGAAATGAATCGAAATCTGATTGGATTGAATGCCAACTCTTTCTTCACTTTCTCTATATTTCACACATTTATACACTTTTCCCATAAATGCTGTCATTAGTACTGAAACTGTATTCATCTTACAATACCGTAAATACTTTTGTCGTCAAAAAGTTACAATCGATTAATTCAATAAATTAAATAAAAATTAAATTAATTTTTTAATGTTTTATTTGAATCATTCATTTTATATCACATATTAATTAATGGCTTTTAAATTACAATTAAATTTTTATTTATATTCAACGAAATGAGAGATAGTGTCAGAAGCGATACAATTAGTATGAATGGTATGAATGGTGTGCTCTTATTGTACGTCAAGTTTTATTACATTTAAAATAGACTTCAATTTGAATTTTATTGTTCATAACTAACAGAATATTCTGTATATTTGTGTCGACTATATGTACAAAGGTTTTAACGCACAGAATATTCTCAATACAGAGTCGGGTCCACACACTCAACACTAGTGTACCTTAAGGTTTGGTAGAAAGGGTAGACATCGGGGATTGTGTGGCCCCGGTATCCATAGGTATCATAATATTCTGTGCCCTAAAACACAGTGTATACACAATGTATGAGATTTAAAACAAACAATAATTAGTATTCAAAAAACAGTATAATTTTTTCATTAATACGTCTATTAAAAAGTGTCTCAAAAATATTATTTTTATAACAGATTTTTTTCGTATATTTATAACAAAACAAAAATTTGATAATTATTTTTCTCAATAACAAAGAATTTGTAATTATTTTTCACTAATAATTGAATAATTAATTTCATGTATCTATTTATAAACACTGATAATAATTAAACACTAATTTAAACGTCAAATAAAAAACGCTTAAAATTATGGCCAAAAAATGAACAAAAAATATAATTTTAAACAAAAAAAGTTAAATTGACTTAAAATTAAAGTTTTTAAAAAACAATATTTCAAAGAATATTCTTATCGTTTGGATCACAACTTAAATACAATTATTAAAAGAAATTAAATCACAAAATTCTATACAAATTAAACAACAATTTAAACAAAACACTGCTTTAGATGTGGTGTTTGTGTCAGAAATATATTTATAGATAATTAAAATATCGATTAATTATAATTATAGTAATAAATTAAATCACAAAATTCTATACAAATTAAACAACAATTTAAACAAAACACTGCTTTAGATGTGGTGTTTGTGTCAGAAATATATTTATAGATAATTAAAATATCGATTAATTATAATTATAGTAATATTAATATTAATTTTATAGTGAATTCCTATTCTTATCAATTATTTATACAAATTATAGCATTAAATACAATGAATAGGGGTTTTGGTCTCACAAATGCATTCAATGAATACAACAACAAAATATTTGAACACAATTTTGAAAACAATTGAAAAAACTATTAAAACCTTTGATTTTGTCGACAATTTGCTAACAGGTTTGCAATGCGAGCGACAAAACGGTTTAATTATAAAAAACAAAACAATAACTAAAAAACAAAAACAATCATTAAATCAAATCGTTTGAATCCATACATCATTGGGCGCTATAATGAATGCATACATACAGTACAGACTGTGCGCCTCCAGAGGTCTAGTGGTAGTAGTGGTGATACTAATGATGGGAAGGCATACATACGGGTGAACACTGCAGACACCGCCGACACCAGCCGTTCCCTACCTCTGGCGGTAGTGATGATGGATTCGGTGAGATGTGGACGACTCGAAGCGTCCGTTAGATCTAAACTTCATGCGCCGGTGATAGCGGGCATTACTGGCCGACACCGGCCTCGGGAACGAGTAATCGCTTTCCATCCGTGGTTTTCGCCGTTCCTTCAGAAACCAATTCACGTCTTCCGCCTCTTCGGCACCACTGCTGTCGCCGTCACTGCCGTCGTAGTCGTTGTCCACCTCATCGTCGCCGGAGTCCACGTCGGAGTACAGGTCACCCTTCAGTACCCGGTGTCGTGAGTTGACGTTCACGCGTATCGTACGGTCCAAGCGGTCGGTCGAGCGCTGATGGCCTGCGAAACCAGTTGTGGTGTACGGCTGTTGGCGGCGACTGTTGGCCCTCTCGAAGAACCAATTGATTTTCGGCTCGTATTCTTCATCGGCTGACTGTCGGCCACTTTTCTCGGCCGACGGCTGCTGTCCGTACCGTTTGGATAGTTTGGCCAACAATTGATTCCATTTGGCGTCCATTTTGTCGACGAGCCGTGACATGCGGGCCGAGAACTGATCCACTTTTGACCGCACGGACTCCTCCTTCGACAACAACTTGTGCTTCGCGTCGTGCAGTTTGCGTACGGTTTGGGCGTAGAGTCGGGACATCTTTGCCGATATCTTCTCGTTGCCGGCCGTGAATACTGTCCGCAAATCTTGCAATTCGTGCCATTTGTTGGTCAGACGTCGGTTCAGATCCGTGATTACGGTTTGTGTCAGATTAAGACCATTGAACACTTCCAGCGGTATTATTGATTCGTTTTCGGCCATCACTTTGTTGTAGAGCTCTTGGAATCGGTCGGAGAAGACGGCGGAGCCCTTCCGGACGGCGTCTTTGAACAGAGACGTCGAGTTTAGGACCCAATCAAACAATATGTTGTCGTTATCTGCGGCTTCTTTGGGCTTATTCTTCGACGGTTTGCTTCTCTGATTGTCTTTATTCGGTGTTTTGTCAATATTATCATCTGATTTAGTGGTCTTCAAACTCTCGTACATTTGGCGCCACTTCTTCGACTCCATCTGTTCCGTACTCAACATATCTCGCAATTCATTCAACTGTCGCTCCAATTGTTCCATCTCTTCGGCCGACGACTCTTGACTCTCATACTCTGGCGAACTCTCCTCTTCCTCTTCGATAATCTCTTCGTCAATAAGCGGATCCGAGTCTTCGTCGACAATCATCTGGTCGTGTGATGTCCACCGAAGGCGCGCTATCGTCGACTTAAGCTCGTCGTTCTCGATCACCATCTGATTGATCCGTTGTTTCAATAGATCCAGTTTTATGGGTACTTTGCCGGCCGTTTCGGTATCGATAACTCGAGCGTTGGAGTAGCCGTTGGTGTCGACACCGGCCGCGGGATTGTGGCCAACATTAACCACTTGAACCTCCAATTGATTGATCGCCGCTTTCAGCTCCTGATTCTCGGTCACGAGTTCGCCGATACGGGCGTTGAGTCGCGCCATCACCACAGAGTCCTCCTCTTCGTCCTCCACGAGCCGAGTCTTCAGCTCCTGATTCTCGGTCTCGAGGAGCGCCACCCGCGAGCCCCACGACTGGACGATCACTTCGTCGTCCTCTTCCTCCTCCACTAACTTCATCTTGAGTTCGCTGTTCTCCACTTCCAAGTCCTTCACCCGCTTCTCCGACTGTTGGCCCTTATATTTCACTTCTTCTAACGTCTTCAGCAGCTATCGGTTCCATCAGATACAGCAAATTAGAAACAATTAAATCAATTAAACATCAAACTAATCAATGGTAGAAATCTTAAGCTGGAAGTGATACATACGTGCAAGTGTTCCATCTGAGTGACCAGGAATCCGAGCTTTAGTTTGTGAAACTCGTCGGAAGCGCTCTTATTGTCGCAGTCTTTGACGGCGATTATATTCTTCAGATCTCCGTCCGAGTGGTAGTGCTGTTGTGTCCGCTGGAGTGCGTCCAACAGTCCCTTATTCTCGGAGAACAGGGTCTCAAACTTTCCCCGAAAGTAGTCGTTATCCGAGTAACAGATCTAAAGACAAATCACACACAAAAACAAATAAAATAAAACGCACAACTCTTTGAACGCTTATGGCATCCAATGGCATACCTGTGCCGACTGTCCCTCCAATTGCGAGCCTTTGTTGACCTGATTCTGCATACAGACCACGAGCTCGTCCTGCAATTGCTTCAGTTTGAGCACCTGACCCAACGACACCTGTTTATGCTGTTTCCAGTGGTTAGACCAGCCGATAAAGTTGCCGATCCCGAGCCCGACAACAGTGCTCAGCGATAAAATCAATATGAGATTCAATTTGCCGTTTAGGCCGGTGTTCGGGGTGTGAACGTAGGCCCGAGTGCCCCGTTTCAGCTCCACATCTGTGGCCAATTCCCGATAGTTCAGACTAGACGTCTCGGACAGGTCTTCGGTGTTGAAGTCGGGAGACAGGAGCTGCTGCTGTCGCAGGTACTGATCCCTGAGGAATGATAGGTTGGATGTCTGCGACACCACCGATGACGAGCACAGCGATGCAGTGGACAGCTCGTCGTCGGAGCTGTCGTCCAACTCGTCCTCGTCTATGATATCGATGTCACTGTTGGTCGTGTCCGGCAGTGCCGGTGCCGAGTGCTCACCGCTCGACGTCTCACCCGTATTATCATTGATTTGTCGCTCATTCTTGTGATTGCATTCGTTATCGATCTCTTCGGTCGATGTCTTCGCCTAAAAGATTAGATAAAAATATTTTCGTTTTTAATAAAACATAATTATCTCAAAAACTAATTGAATATAAACTAAACATATGGTTATGTGATCGACAGATAACATGTTACTAACTGTTAGTGAATTGACTATTATTTTAATCTTGTTATACACTATTGTAAGCCAATATTTTGTCCAATTAATGTAAATTTACAGAATATTCTCTAATAAAATGCCTTAAATTATGCATATATTATGTAAATTCCGATATAATTAACCCTTTTATTAAAAACAGTCGTTTTTATGCCATTAAAAATAAGTCCTTTAAATTTGTTTTAACAAAAAAATGATAACAAAAAATTAACTTAAAAACTGTTTTCAAAGGCAACACATGTTATAACATATTATAACAAAAAAACTGTGCGTTTGAAAAATAATGCTAAATATTTGGCCCACTTTTCATTGCATTTCAAACAAAAAGGTAAAATGTGTTTCAAGTTTTGGGTTAATTGCATACAAAAATCCAAGACATTTGTTGTCAAGTGATTCACAAGGAAAGTGAATGTTATGCTCTCTCTCTCTCTCTCTCTCTCTCTC